ATAGCACTTTCTTCACTTAAGTATAAACTTTTAAAACTATAAACTTCTTCTAAGCATGGTTTTAACTGTATACCACAAATTTTGGATTATCATCTTATATTATCATCATCACCTCACTTGAAACACTTTGAAATTCCCCTCAAAGTTTTTAAATTGATCCATTAGGCATACAGTAATTTGTTGTTTAATTTCCAATACTTGATGTTTCTCTAGTTATTTTATCATTCCTGAGTCCTAATTTAATATCATTGTTCATATATATATATATTTGATGTCTACCTTTGAAATTTATTGAGACTTTTCTATGACCCACCATATACTCTGTCTTGGTGATGTTCCACATGGATTTGAAAAGATTGTATAATTCTATTATTAATTGCAATAATCTATAAATCTCAGTGGGGTTAAAGAAGTTGATAATGTTTAAATCTTCTGAAACTTTTCTGATTTTGTTTAGTTGTTTTACCAATTTTTGAGAGAACAGAGTTAAAATCAAGTATGATGTGAATTTGTCCATTTCTTCATTTAGTTCTGTCAGATTTTTGCACCATATATTTACAAGCTACATAAATAGGCCATCCACATGTATAATTATGATCTCCTGATAAACTGACTCTTTCATCGGTATGAAACACAGGCCTTTGAGTCTGGTAATACATCTTATATTTATATCTATCTGACAGTACAGCCATTCATTTTCTTGTATTTGCAGTTTTAACAGCACATCTTTTCTCAATTTTTACTTTAAACACACTATTGAGTAAGCACAAACAAACATAAAGCAGACAGCAGAAACTTGTGATTTTTGTTATTTTGAAAAGATAATATAAAGAGAAGTCTAATGATTAGACTGCTATCTACATTTACATGGGTAATTGCTTGTTTTTGGTAAATTTCCTTACTTTATGACTGTCCACTATTGCTTTTCTCCCATCTGTAATTGTCCATTGCTGGAGTTACTATCCTACATTCTTTTCATTTGCATTTGAGATGCACTGATAGAAAAGATGTCAGTTATAAAATCGTTGAAATCATTTTACTGAAATGTGCTTAAAAAAAAAAAACTCTAAAATGCCCATTGAATAATGATGAATGGTGAAGTTCAAAACACTCTGAATTTCATCATATATTTGTGATTTATATTTAAAATTAAAAAAATAAAAGAAATTTAAAAATACCTTTGAAAATTCTCCATTATTATTTTTGGAGATAATAAAATTCAATAGTTTGAACTATTAGGTTGTTGAGAAAAGAAAAAGGAAAATAGGTAAGAACTCTTCAGTCAATTACAAACCTAAATATTTATGGCTTTGTAAATTATATTGATTCTCAAATAAATGGTACTCTGATTTTCACTAATCTAGCTATATTGTGAGAACAGACTCATCTCACAACATTAACTTTTTTTAACATTTCTCTTCTTTCTTTCTTTCTTCCTTTCTTTTCTTTCTTTTTTCTTTTTCTTTTTCTTTTCTTTTTTTTAATGCCTTATGATTCAGGAAATTTGCTGGGTACATTCCCAGTTCTTGTTTGTTAAATATAAACTAAAAAGGCATGGGTGGTAGTAGGGGATTAAAAACAACCTTAGATAAATATTCTTAATAGCTGTTATCTTTCTAGAAACTGTACTACTCATTTCACCTGAAATCTTCTCAGTAGCCTTCTCAGTTAGTTACTACGGTATGAACAAACTTCATATGAGTGACAAAAGAGAACAGAACAAACTAAAAGGAAACAGAACAGAAACTTTCTCTGTAGATATTAAACATTCTCTTCTTAGAATTATGTGGAAAAAATAACAAAAAAGGAGGAAATAAAATGACACAGTTTTCTCCTTGCTACAGTCACTTTTATCACTAATGCTGAAGAATAAGGTGACAATAGAATTTCTAAGGGCCCAAAGCCAGTCTTTTTTTTTTTTTTTAATAAAGGAGTTAATGTTTGGGGTTGTTGGGAATATGTATGTGCATTTTAACAATAGCAACTGATCTTCAAAAAGGGCGAACAAAATTAAAAGTGTGAGATTCCACTCAAATTATCCACATTTAACCCAACTCAAAATTAAAATTTAAATTTAAGACATCAGCAGAACACCACTGGGAAAAATCTCAGGTAGGAGCATTTTTTAATATACTAAACTCTTTAATTCCTTTTTATTTTAAAAATAAAATAATTGGGATCTTCTACAGTTAAAAAATAATCTGTGTATAAAAGTGGGACTACTATGCATCATAAAAAAGTACCTGTAAAATGGGAGTAATTCTTCTATATTAAAAAGTTTTTGTTAATCTAAGATGAATAATTGGTATTAAACTCAAATTAAGTAATGAAATGTAAATTACCATTTGAAAATTCCTGGCTTAGAGAACATTTTTTTTTTAATTTATTTTAGTCATCTCTACACTCAACATGGGGCTCAAATTCCAACCCTGAGATCAAGAGTTGCATGTTCTACCTACTGAGCCAGCCAGGCAACCTGAGAATATTTAAATAAACAATTTTTCTTTAAAGGCATCTATTATAAAGACAACTAGAACAGCTGTCTATGCTAATCATATCATAATATTGTCTTTCTTGTTGTCAATAAAGAATAAGACCCTCCACTCTCTGAATGTGCTTAACAAACATGTAATTATTGCTCATCATACATCAGCTTTAAAAATCAATTCTCTTTGGGATGCCTGGGAGGCTCAGTTGGTTAAGCATCTGCCTTTGGCTCAGGTCATGATCCCAGGGTCCTGGGATCGACTCCTGCATGGGGCTCTCTGCTCAGTGGGAGTCTGCTACTCCCTTTCCTCCCCGCTCATTCTCTCTCTCCCTGTCTCTGTCTCTCTCTCTTTCTCAAATAAGTAAATAAAATCTTAAAAAAAAATCAATTCTTTTCAGTTTCTTCAAATATCCTTTAATGAATAAAAACAGATGGAAGTATAAAAACAATCTCAAAATATTCAGGACACTGACTCCATAGTGAATATCACTGAGTATTTTTTAAATTATAAAATTAAGCACCCTAAGAAAGACTTTGACACCTCCTGTCAGTTCTTCCTACTTCCGTTTTACTTGTTGATTTTTTAATTAAAACTCAAGACCAAGGGAGAGGCTGTAACTGAATAGTTGAACATTACAGACTTTGAGATTAATATCTTTTAATGTAACAGTTGTTATTAAGCTTGCTTTGTTCAAAGAGATTCAGGCTGCATGTTAAGCCAAAGGTCAGGGAGATTTGACAAGTGCAGCAAAACACTTACGTTGTCAGTATAGAAACCACATTAGTCATACATATAGTGTGCTCTTAAATATTTAACAGGCTTACCAAACATTAAAAGCCCTAATTTGTAGTGTTTGTCAATTCCTGTGGCATAATACTCCCATGTGGCTGATTTCAAGCTACCAAAATGATATGAACGAATCTAAAACTGGAAAATATACACAGTAGCCCTTATGTAGTATTTCCACATATAGATCCAATATTATAAATAGTTAATAGTAGAATATAGTAAAATAAATAGGAAATGGGTTTTGAGTATTGATTACCCGTCTAAAAATATAATGTGTTTCATTATAAGTGTATATAATTTAATTTTTATGCCTGTCCTTAACTGACAGCTCATAAAATTCTTGAAATTTTAACAGTGATCAAATATAAAAGCACTACTTCTGCACACCACTGTATAGATTCTAGACCCAAAACCACCCCAGCAATACAAACTGGTATGGAATCCAGATATCTCCCAGTTTTTACTTTAACGTCTGATAAGAACACATGACTGAATGCCCCCAATAGTCTATGGCATCATTTCTCTTAAATTCCCTTCTCTCTTCCTGATTCCATTCTGGCCTCTAGTAGGAGCTGCTAGCATTATTATTATTATTATTATTATTATTATTATTATTATCATCTAAGTGTTAGAAAAGCAAATTATTAGTGAGCATCTTTGTAAGGGAACCTTAATACTACTCATTCTAAATAGTTATATTTTTCTGTTCTCACATTATTTATTATCATTTCCTATCAATTAATACAAATCAATTGAACAATAGTGGGATGCAGTAAAAAGTCACTAACTTTGGAGTCAAATCTCAGGCTGCTGTCTTGAATTCACACCTAGCAGAAGAAAGTCATTTAAAATTTCTGACCTCTCACTTTATGTGTTTGAAATAATATTAATATGTATACTGTTTATAGAAATCCCCAAAGAAATCAGTTGTTATAATTATAAAAATAAATCCGCAGCATGCTTAAATCCTAAAGAATGGCTGATTACTGGGCATAAAGAGGATTAATCCATTATACACTCTCCTAACTAACTCACCACCTGAGCACAGACGGTAGGAGGGCTACTGTATTCAGTGGGCAAAATCAGTCAGACATTCAGATTAGATTTTACTAGACTGATTGTTACTGGGACAAAAATGAATACACTACTTTTATGGTATCATATAAATAAAGCCTCAATATCATTAAAGTGAAATCCATTTAGGGCAGCTGGGTGGCTCAGTCAGCTGAGCATCGGACTCTTGATTTTTGCTCAGGTTATGATATCAGGGTCCTGGGACTGAGTCCAGCTCTGGGCGTGTCACCTGCTTAGTATTCTCTCTCTCCTTCTCCCTCTGCCCCTCCCCCCTCCTCTCTCTCTCTAAAAAAAAAAAAAAAATGAAGTCCATTTAATAGGTCTCTCAATAGCTTTATAACAACATCTAAACATAGCTTAACAGCTGATGCCCATTTCTCTTTAACCAACTTTGCCCGGGTTTGGTGTCAATTTATTCTCTTTCAATTCCTTCACAGAATCTTAGAATTTTAGAGCTGAAGAGTACCTTATAAACCAGAGCTCCACATCCTTCATAACTCTCATTTGACATATGGGAAGAGCTAGGCTGCAAGAGGATACTTGACCCCTGCCCAGTGTCATGCAGTTAATTATTAACAGAGCAGGGACTCACCAGTCTACAGACTCCACTATCTACCAGCACTGAAAGACATCAGAGTAAACCATTACCTCTTGAAGAACTCTTTTCATCTTTAATAACAACGTCTTGACGGCTGTGCAGTCCTGTAACATCAGTCTGAAGGGCAGAGAATCAAGGCCTCCATTTTCTTCCACACCTTGCAGGGGCCAGTCTGCAGATGGACTGCTGGGCATTCGGCTGATATGGGAACACCTGACTTCCTGATCAATGTCTTTTGTTAATTTCAGGGAAAGATTCCTAACAAGAAAAAAAAATTACAATGTAGCATATTCAGAGCAGTATTTTCCAAGCTGCTGATCAACGTCAGGAGTGAACTAGAAAAAATTTCTTGTGACTGGCATCATTTCCTCTCACTAGTCTGAAAATTCTGAGACCCTTTTGTCAAAATTATGAAATAGGTCAATTGTATTTTTAGAAGTAAGATTCAACGATAATCACTATTTTAGAATGTGATTTTTTCCCTTTCGAGAATTTCATTTATACATAACACTGTGCTTATACTTTCTTAAATTAACAGTTTCTAAAATGTTGAAAGTCAACAGAAATCACCAAAAGAGAAATTTCATATCTTTTCTGAAAATATGTTTAAAAATTAATTGGAAATAAAAGATTAAGATACCAAAAACTAAGATAAAATAACTTTGTTAATTATTATTTTAAATGACTAAAGCAATCAATGGCCATTTTCAGAGTTAAGAAAGACTTGTATACATAAGATTTTACGTAAAAATAGTAAAATAAATGGAAGATGAATAACTTCATATGTAGTTAGTATGTTTATCAAATTATCATTAATTTTTTAGCATAGTAATGTGTGGAAAAACACACCCATATATTTACCCTGTTCTACTTGATAATCAAGAATTATTTGAAAATATTACATTTTGAAAATCCTCTAACATGGCTTATATTGACAATATATGTAAAAGAAAAGATACTAAGATCGACAATTTTCCATATGTGCAGATCAGGAATCTAAAAATAGTACAAAAGAGGAGCTAATGGAAATAGTCTTTTGCATTGAGTTTTCTGAATTTGTTTCCATTTCTTAAAACCCAGGGGCCTCAGCAATAATGACAATTAACATGATAGCATAGCTCAGGCTATTTATGAAAAAATAGTTTACGACTTGTGCTCAATTTTAGTAGCTTTTATATATATTATTTCCTGAATTATATGACAAGGTCACTTAGCAACCTAAATTGAAAATAAAAAAAAAAATAGAGTAGCCTGGTAACTTGCCACCAAGATTAGGAAAAGACGCCAATGAGAAATATATCCTCAGTTAATTTTATTCAACTCTGATTATTCATGATAGTAAATTAATTTTTTAAAGATTTTATTTATTTATTTGAGAGAAAGAATGTGTGAACAGTGGGGGAGGGGGTGGAGGGCAGAGGGAGAGGCAGAGAATCCCAAGCAGACTCTGTGTGGAGTTTGAGTCTGGGCTCGATCTCCAAACCCATGAAATCAGGACCTGAACCAAAATTACAAGTCTGATGCTTAAACAACTGAGTCACCCAGGTGCCCCCACAATAGTATAATTAATTTTTAAAGTATTAGATAATTAGTAAATAAAACACACTTTTGAATTACACTGAATTTTTCACTTATCTTCACAGATACATTCATTGATCACAACTGTCCTTTGAAGTGATAAGACAGTAATCACTGCCTTCATTTTGTATCGATAATAAAATAATAAATAAATAGTAATAGGGATGCTTGGGTGGCACAGTTGGTTAAGGCACTGACTCTTGGTTTTGGCTCAGGTTATGATCTCAGGGTTGTGGAACTGAGCCCTGGATTGGGCTCTGTGCTCAGCTGGGAGTCTGCTTCCTCTCTCCCTCTCCCTCTGCACCCACTCATGCTCTCTTTCTCTCTAAAATGAAAAAATAAATCTTAAAAAAAATAGTAATAGCTAAAAATTTTTGAGGGCCTACTTATAGGCCAAATACTGTGCTAACCATTTCATATATGTAATTCATTCAAATTTTGACAAATTCAAGAGGTAGATATAATAAGTATCTTAATCTTATCTGAGGAAACTGAGGCTCAGATAAGTAACTTATCTCAGAGTTAAAAAGCTGGTAAGAAGTAGACTTGGGATGAATCAACCTAGGCACTCTTGCAAGACTTTTTTTTTTTTTCCTACTAAACACATAATGTGCCTATATATAACAATGCTTAATGCATCTCAGGTAGTCCTATAAGGACTTTTACATGTTAAACCACTTACTACAACTCTTTTAGGTAGTGTTATTATCATCCCCATTTCATAGTTGAGGGAGTTTAATATCAGAGAGGTGAAGTAACATGGTGATGGTCACACAGCAAAGAAGGGACAGAGCTGAGATTTGAATGCAGACAGGGCACTCAAGCTCTAAGCCACTACATGAGTCTGTATCTCATGTTTTCTTGAAAAACAAGAAAATAAGCCAAAAACTAAAAACAAAAAGCCAAAAAAATAAAAGCAAATGAAAAATCCTACAATTATACAAAGAATCATTTATATTTTCACTTTTAAAATATATTTTATTTAATATGACATTCATCTTAATTATGCACAACTTGTGAACTATGCAATCATTCTTAAAGGTTCCCATTTTATTTAAGTGTCTTCTATCCTATTTTTTCTAAGACTGATAAGAATAAAATGGAATATAAAAATTATATTTCACAGTATAGTTTATCTATGATAGAATTTTCAAGGATTTATCAGATTTTAGTTGTGAACCACCCTGGTGTCTGGCACAAATTAGGCTGACTTGGTAAATAACTGTACAATTGAAGTTGAAAAAAATGAATACAATAATGAGTGACTGAATAAAACATATTTTTTGTAATAATCTATGCAATATATCTCTCATTTGTATACATAAATTTTTATGCAAAGTGAATTGTTATGCATTGCAGGGCTGCCACGGTTCAAAATTTCCTAGCACTCTTACAATAAAGTAATTAAGCTAATGTTTTTATAATTCCTTTTAGTTAGATTGCTATTTCTTTAGACCTATTTGTGCAATCACAGATCTAAACATCAGTGAAAACTGACAAATGTTTCAGAAACCACACAGGTGTGAAGTTTTGTGACTAATTTCAGGCGTTTACCGAGGTTCTGTGGATTACAGTTTAACATTGACAAATCTAAGAATCCCTGTAATTTTCAGAGTTAAGAATGGACTATATACAAAAATGCTTAGAAGATAAATTAACCATTTGTTTTATAATTCAAAAAACCTGAATGTATCCTTAATTCCAACAAGGAAGAATGATGGCATTTTTTTCACAATTACAGAATATATCCATATTGTGTCCAGCAGAGCAATGGTAGCTGAAGTTGCAGAGCTTAATAGGATATAGTCACTGACCCCAAGAGGCTCACCACAGTTATTAAATTTTTAATAGGTGATACCAAAAATATATATATATATCAGTTACAGTTGACCCTTAAACAACATGGATTTGAACCCTGTGGATCCATTTATGTGTGGACTCTTTTTGATAATTACAGTATAATACATAATTTTTTTTCTCTTCCTTATGATTTTCTTCATAACATGTTCTTTCCTCTAGCTTACTTTATTGTAAGAATTCAGTATATAATATACATAACATACAAAGTATGTGTTAACTGACTTACTGGTAATGCTTCCATTTAATCCCAGGCTATTAGTAGTTAATTTTGGGGGGGGTCAAAAGTTATACACAGATTCTTGACTGTGCGGGATGTTAGTGCCTGCAACCCCTGGATTGTGCAAGGGTCAACTGTAATATTCTTTTGCACATGAAAAATGAATATTTTCACCTCAAAAGATTTTATTTCTATGTGAAAATTAGTCAGCCGCAAGACCACCATAATCGAAATCATTCTTTTTTTTTTAGCCATTCAGTCAGAATGGCTAAAATCATTCTTAATTAGGCTGAGGTAGTTAGTGAAATAGGCCATTAAACAGGACTGCTACTCAGTTGCAACAGGCATCTTGTTGTATGTTGGTGACCATTATATTTCTGATTGATAAGTCCCCGAGGTTTACAATTGTTAAATATTTTAAATCTCAATCTTTTTAACAACAGACTTTTATTGGGCTCAAAATACCCAAGTGTCTCTGGGTAAATTCACCTAAATCCCATCCCTGTAGTTGACCAAAAAAAAGAGAAAAATCTCTACTATGGAGCCACAGTTTCCTCTTGCACAGACCACCCATAAGGCCAGGAGGATAAAGTGAGGTTCAAGTACTCCCCGTTCATGCATTAGCAGGGATCACTAGATAATACAATCTGTGCACTTTGGGACATAATAGCTCTCTGTCTGCCAATGCTCTGAATTATTATAGTTTCAGAAAACTGAACAAATAGGCATTATATCAAAAAAGTTAGACAATCCCTTAACTTGGCCAAAAAAAGCAGAGGCTGTGGGGGGAAAACTGAGGCCTGATACAGTGGTTCATTAATCACCATAACTAGTACAAACAAACAACTACAACATTGTAATCTCCACTGAAAACGTTTACATACAGTTCACCCTCTCTGTGTCAACTTCATGAATCTTCAGTAGAACTGCTCAGTAATTTTTACACTTGCCTTGCTGCTCATGAATGATGTTCAAGTCTTTATAACTTAAAATTTAACCCTTAGGTTTTCCACAGCAAAGGAAGCCATCAACAAAATGAAAAGGCAACCTACTAAATGGGAGAATATATTGCAAATGATATATCTAATAAGGAATTAATATCCAAAATACATAACGAACTTACACCACTCCACACCAAAAAACCAAATAATTCAATTAAAAAATGGGCAAACAATCTAAATAGACATTTTCTCAAAAAGACAGACAGATGACAGACACGTGAAAAGATACTCAGTATCATTCATCATCAGGGAAATGCAAATCAGAACTGCAAGGAGATGTCACCTTATACCTGTCAGAATGGCTAAAATCAAAAAGACAAAAAAATAACAAGTGTTGCTGAGATATAGAGATAAAGGAATGCTTGTGTACTGCTGTAAATAATGTAAATTAGTGCAGCCACTGTGTAGGTAATAGGATGGTGGTTCCTCAAAAATATGAGAAATAGAAATACCATAGATCCAATAATTCCACGACTGGGTATTTACCCAAATAAAACAAAAACACTAATTCTAAAAGATATATGCACTGTTATGTTTATTACAGCATTATTTACAATAGCCAAGATATGGAAGCAGCCCAAGTGTCCATCAATAGATAAGTG